TTGCCAGCCCCATTTTTTTGGGTGCAGGAGCAGTTTGCTCCTCCCCAGCTCCCACACCCAAAAACCCTTTTGCACCCTGGCTCCATCCAGGCTGATTTTCGGTGCCCATCGTGCTGCGCTCACAGCGCCGGGGCTCAGCGCGGACACAGCAGGGACCCTGACATCAACACGGGCCCTGGGGGGGGAGCAGGATGGAGGTGGGTGAGGGGCACCCCAGGCACTTGGTGCTCCCCACGGGGGTCCGCTCCTGTCACCGGGACTGATGTGATTCCCCTGGGGGGCTGCGCACCCCTGGGCCCCTCACCACGGTGCCCCTGACCCCATGGGCACAGCGCAGCCCCTCCGCTGCGCTCGGCAGATCCGGCTGCGGTGGGCGCGGGGGGACGCGGGCATCCCCTGGGGTGGGTGATGAATGAAGGGGGGAAGTTCCCCGTGCTCGGCCCCGCTGGACCTGGCCCTCGTTAGCCGGGATGAGCTCATGGATCCGCCCGCGTCACGCTAAATTAATTCGATCATTACGGCCCGGCCGGAGCGAGGGGCTCCCCACAGCCCGCGGACCCCGGTGTGCCCCCGGCCAGCCCCTGCTCCATGCAGTGGGGGCAGCTCCAGCACAGCCCCCTCCTGGGGGGGGGCAGAGCACGATGGCACCGCTGGGAGCTGCCAAAAGTGGCTGACCCCCAGCAGCACCCCCAGCCTGTGCTCTGCCCTGAGCCTGCCCGTGTGTCCTGATGAGCTGCGGTGCTGAGCCCCCCCCCTGCTCCCCACCACCTCTGGAAATGGCCACGGCTTTGTTGGCACGACCACGGGTGATCCGGCTGCGTGGCACGGCCGAGCCCTGGTCCTGCAGGGAGCAGTCGGTCACCCGGATGGCTTTTGGTTCATGAGGCCCTTGGTGAATTCATGCTGCTGGAGACCGAGGGATAACGAGAGTTTGTGGGAACACACAGGGATCCTGCCGTGAACCCAAAATCCTCTCCTTGTCCCAAAACTCCCGCTTCCCGGCACGCTGCTGGTTCGGAAGGTGAGCGTGGCTTTGAGTTTGTGGTGGTGCCGAGTTTGGAGGCGTGGGGGTGGGCAGCCCTGGGGACAACAACCAGCAACGCCCTGAATGAGAGGTGAAGGCTTTGTTGTTGTTCTCATAAAAATGAGACCTGAAAGGTGTGCACAGCGCCCAAAACTCCTCCGGCACATTGGTGTGGGTCCCGCAGCGCCCTCATCCTCCACGGGCTCAGCTGTGGAAACGTCCTGGAAAACTCAGCCCGGGCTCAGCGGGATTCAGGCAAGAAGCCACGGCACGGAGTTTGAACACAGGCACGTGCACTCCCTCCTCTGCTGCCGTGGGACAGGGGCGGTGACACCGGTGACACCGGGCACCGGGAGCTCCCGGCACAGCTCGGCATCTCCGGGCCGTGCAGGGGAACTGGGGGGGCTTCATCCCATCTGCTTCCCAGGGAGAGGACAAAAACGAAGCTTCCAACCATAGAAAAGCCACCAGGTGACAGAGCATTTGTTTTATATATATTTGTATGTATATATATAGAGAGATATTTATATATATATAGATAGAAGTGGGTTCTTCTTCTCTCATGTAAAAATTCAAAATACAGTTTTTACTATTAACAATCTGAAGTGTAAATGTACAAATTTTTTTACTGCTAAGCAAAAGGAAAACAAAAACCAAAGAAACAAACAAAAAGAAACACACAGAGCAAGAGGAAATAAAAAGAGAAGGTAAAGCCGGGCCCGGGGGGGAGAGCCCGGGGCGCCCGGGGTGTGCGCACGCACGCGGAGACCCTCGGGGACCAGACCGCGAGGCAGAGACCACAAAGGGATCCAACCCACCGGCGCCAGATTGGCAAACTTTTATTTCTCTTTAAAAACCATCGCGTCCGCCTCTCCGGGGCGAGGAGGGAAGGGGGACACGGGGGTGGAGGAGGAATTCCCTGCCCCTGAGAAGCTGACCCCATCCGCACGCCCCGGCGAGCGCCTGCGCTCCGGGGCGAGGGGCGCCCGCGGCCGTGCCCCCGCGGCTGCCGGACCCTCGGTGCCCGGCGCGGGGCTCGGCTGCCGCCCGCGGTCGCCCGGCGGCTGCTGCCAGGGCCGTCCGGGCTCTCCCGCTCGCTCAGCGCCGCGCGGGGGCCGGGCACGGCACCGCCGCCGGGGTCTCTGGCACCGCTCGGCCCCCAACGACTGCCGAACTGGAGGAGCGCTGGGTGGCTAGAATCTAAAGCGGGTTTCAAAACACCTCATTAAGCACACACACAAATGAAATCCTCACAGTGCCGGGGGAAGCAAACATGAACCAGAGGGTGTTGAGAGCTGTCAATGTCTGTGCAAAGCAAGGAGGCTGGCGGCTGGATTTCCCTTTCGTGCGCATCCTTTCTCTTCCTCTCTTTTCGCCCTGCCCTCAGCCTTAGGATACCGCAGGGTCCTTGGGTTTGGCCTGCTCAGTCCCGGACAAGAGCGAGATGGTGGGGTCCTCCGCGTACTCGTCTCCGTCGGTGAAGTACGGCCCTTCTCCCAGCTCGAAGAAGATGGGCAGGTCTCCGCTCCCCACGTCCACGGCGCTCGAGTCCACCAGGAAGAGGGGCTGGGCCGTGTAGTGCACCAGCTGCTTTCCTGCAAAGAGAGAGGGAGTTGGGGGGGAATTCTGCGGGGAGATGGAGCTCTGTGATGAGCTGGGGCACCACGAGGAGCTGGGGCACTGCGTGGAGCAGGTGCCATGAGCCTGCACCCCCCAAACTCCGTTGTCATTGAGCGAGGAAGTGCTCGACGACGCAGCAGACTCTGCTAGGAAGAGCCTGCCCCCCACCCCAATTCCTTACATCGCCAGCTTCCCCCTCCACCCCTTCTCCTTCCCAGTCCAAGCACTCCCACCTCTCTCAGCCAAACACGCTTTTGGGAGCCGAAATGGTTTTGGCACGGCCCCAGGTCTTGTGAGGGAGTCACCACAAGCCAAAACGAGCGCCCCGTACCTGTGTCTGCTGTGCTGGCCTCTGTCTCGGTGGGTTTCTGCTGTTCCTGGGACGAAAGGAGATCCTGAATCTGCAGGGAGAGAAGGTGGGCTGGTCAGCACCCGGCACAGGGTGGGTCCACGCCGACAGAGAGCGCGGTGCTCTCGGCACAGCCACACAAGGAAAGCAGTGGGTCACAATCCTGAAACCCCACTAATTCACCCCGACGTGCCCGGCACCCGTCACTGCTACCAGAGCGCACCAGGGTCCCGGGTGGAGGTCACGTCCCTGCTCCATCTGGTCCCACGGGCAGCCCTGGGCTGGGACGGCCGAGGAGGGAGCGCTGGAGGCACAAAACGGCTGGGAGGGAGCAAAGCTGCCTGCCCCATACAAAATCCCAGCAGCAGGAGCCAACAGGCTGGGACCTGTGCCTGCGCTCCTGCAGTGACGGAGACGTGCTGTGGACAGGGACATCAGAGGGGTGCTGCCCGTGCTCCCCTGTCCTGTGCCACCGCCACCTTCGTGCCCAGGAGCACCCCTGCAGGCCCCCAAAAGAGAGCCTAGATTTTGGCTTTCCTGTTTGGTAAACCCTTCAAGATGTTTCCTGTTCTACTCTAAGGAAATAAATAATTTTTTTTTTCTTTTTCAAGTTAATCAAAAAGGAAGAGGAGGGGGGCAGGAGCCTCGTGCTCACGGCACCACCTGCACAAGGAGAGCCCTCCTGCGTCTGACCTGGACCAGACTCACTCCCTGTCTCCCTGTGCTCCTGGGGTTTATTTTGGGTTCCCTCTGGTCATGGAGCTGCTCCACGTCACGGCACTGCCCAGCCATGTCCCAGCCCGCAGCCCTGCGCGGCGCTCGGTGCTGAAGACACTCGAGCAGATAAAACGAGTAACGCAGCACGTGATGGGGCTCGCCTAGAGAAAACCTCCCGAGGATGTCAGGAAGGCAGCAGGAGGGCTGATGGAAACCACGTGCGGCTCTCCACGGGCCTCCGCGCACCCCCACGTTCAGGGGGCAGGGCTCGGAGGAGAGGCGGCCGTCTCAGCACCTAATTAACCCAGCGTGAGTGATGAAGTAGCCCCGCTCGCTGTACGGAGCTGGCCGCAGCACTAATTGAATGATTTCCCCCTGGAGGCCCCCAGCCCCACGCAGGGCTCTGCGCTCCCCCTCCCTGCCTCCCTCTTGCGGGCTGGGGATGGCCCCGATGCTTGGAGCTGTCAGAGACCCCAGGAGCTATCCGAGCCCCCCAGGAGCTGTCAGAGCCCCCAGGAGCTATCCGAGCCCCCCAGGAGCTATCCGAGCCCCCCAGGAGCTGTCAGAGCCCCCAGGAGCTATCCGAGGCCCCCAGGAGCTGTCAGAGCCCCCAGGAGCTGTCCGAGGCCCCCAGGACCTATCCGAGCCCCCCAAGAGCTGTCAGAGCCCCCCAGGAGCTCTCAGAGCCCCCTGGAACTGTCCAAGCCCCCAGGAATTGTCTGAGCCCCCCGGGTACGGAGGGGCTGCCGGCACAGCCACACAGGTGGGGAGCTACTCACACTGGCAAGGCTGCTGTCCAGGTCGGGGAGGTTCATGTCTGTAACCGTCATGGAGGGGCTGAAGAGCTGCCAGAGGAAAAAACGGTGAGGGCAGGGCAGGGGGGCACAGCCGGGAGCCCCCCCGTGCCCCCCGTGCCCCCCACGCACGGTACTCACATCCAGCAGCGCGCTCGTGTCGACGCTGAAGCCGTGCGTGGTCAGCATCGTCTGAAGGTTGTCCAGGTTGGAGTCGATGGTGTCCAGGTGGTCGTTGAGCTCATTCCTGTGCAGGAGAGAGGCGAGCACGGGGGTGGTCAGCGCTGAGGGAGCCCCTCCTGCCCGTGGGGGTGGGCTCGGGGTGGGTGCAGTGCCAGGGAGCAGCACCGCAGCCGTGCCCTCGCCCTCTGCTGTCCCCAAGTCCCTGCATGGAGAGGGCCGAGGGGAGCAACCCGAAGCTCTGGGCAGCACTGGGACGAGCACAGCCGCGTGCAGCACACGCAGCGAGCCCCCCACGCACTCTCCTGCTCCTGGTTTTTACGCTCAGGCTGCTTCAGGGCCGCAGAGCAGCGGGTGGCGTCCCCCTCCTGGTGCCACGAGCCCACCAGGCTCCCTGCAGGGATCTGTAACTTTTTCTGGCCTAAAATCCACGAACACTCAGCAAATAAACGCCTTATCCACCTGCGCGCTTTTAAATGATTTCCAAAGTCATTCAAATGACTTCCAAAGTCATTTAAAAGCACCCGAGATGTTTTGGCTGCCCCCCCCAGCCCCATCCCCAGCCGCTGGCTGCCACCAGGAGCCCGTGGGCAGTGCCCAGCGCTGCAGGCACAGCGCTGCAGAGGCACAGAGCTGCTTTTGTTCCCCGCGCTGCTTTTCCTCCCAAACGTCCCCGTTTCTGACGGCGCGGCCTTGCACCGATTATCTCATTTCTGCAGGAAAAAAAAAGCAATTCCGGCCCCTGAGCTCTGCCCAGGTCACACGCCGCCTTGTGATGTGTCTGCACCTGGGAGATGGGCCCGGGGGGAGCACAGCAGGGCCCCAGCGGGCAAATAACGACCGGAGAGCGACAGCTCCAGCAGGGACCCCCCCTGGCAGCCCGCGGGGAGGCAGGACACGCGCTCGGGAGCGCTTTGTAGCTGGGGCCAGCTTACGTTTCCCCTTTGAATCGCTCTCCACCTTAACTGGAAGCAGTCACGGGCAATGCTTCAGACAATTTCTCCGAGGTTTCTGCTCGCAGCCACCGTGGGAGGCAGGAGCGGGGCTGGATGGAGGTGCCCTGCTGCTGGCTGCTCCCTCCCCGGGACAGCGCCAGCCAGGTTTAACCGTGGGAAGTTTCCTCGTTCTGTCCTTATCACAAAAACAGAGGAGGCCTCAGGAAAATCATTTAAGCCCTGGGCTCCCCCCGCTCTGAAGGTGGGAGCAGTTTTTGGGTAGCGCCCCGTGCTTGGAGCAGCCCGGTCTGTGCTGCCCCACGGCCGTGCTGCTGCCCTGCTTACAAAGCAGGCAGAATTAACGACAAAATGGGGCAGAATGGGGATTAACAACAAAAACACGAAACCGAACCGCCCTGCGAAAGCCCGTGGAGACAGCACGGTCCCACCCAGGCTCCTTGAGACATCTCCCCAAATATCTCCAATATGGACCCAGCCCCACGACCTGGCGCACGGCAGCACGGCTCGTGGGGTGCAGCCCCGGTGCCGTGGGGTGTCCGTGCTGTGAGCACACAGAGGGATTTGGCCCCCGAAACGCAGCGGGGGGGTGGAGGACAACGCCTGGGCTGTGCCACGGAGCACTGAGAGGCAAATCCCTTCCCTGCAGAGCCTGAGCCTCGGCGCTGTCACCTGCAGCGCCGCTGGTCACGGGGAGGTGACTGGGTGCGGATGAAATTCCCCCGAACAAAGGGTGTCTTGTGGCTGAAATAACAGCCTGTGGGGCGCACAAAGAGGCTCTGCACGCCGTGACCTGCGGCCTCACGGGCGGCTCCTCTCCAGTAATTTGGGAACAAGAGGAACAGGCTGGATGTGATGAAAGGCAGGTATTGCTGAGCCGTCCTGGCAGGCTGTCAGTGCACGGGTCACGGCACGGCGCTCGGGCACCGCTGTCATCCCGCAGAGTCCCCGCCGTCAGGGAACACTTCCCTTATTGCCTGCGTCCCAAAGCAGTGAGCAAACTCCTCGGAATTTAACTGCTGCTGCCCCGCCAGGGCGCCGTGCTGCTGCCTCACCCCGGGGCGTGGGGCTGCTCCAGAAAAATGGGGAAGGGGCTGAGGGCACGGCAGTGCCGCCCTCCTCCCGATGCTGCCACCACCGTGGTGCCACCACCCCGAGGAACAAAGCTACAGGCAGGGTGCTGAGGCACCAGGATGACAAAAAGCACACAGAGGGGAGCAGCGCGGTGCTGCTGGCACGGCGCTGGAGTAGGAGAGCACCCCAAAAAGGGGAAGAGCACCCAAAGAAGGGGAAGCACCAGCCTTTTCTTTTAACCAGCCCTCGGAAGCTCTCCAGGACGAAGCGTGGAGCTCGCTCTCTGCAGGAGCAAGGGGCAAACGCCTTCTGTGTCCTTTGCCTGCCTCTGCGTGGTCTGCAGGAGTCCTCAATAATTCAGGACCACTCGGCAGCACTTTTATTTCATTTTTATTACCCTTTAAACGGCGAGTTTCGGCTTCTGAAGCTGCATAATAAAGCCTGCCTCTTTTTAAGGACAGTTGGTATTGCCGAGACGGATCGCCGTGCCCTCGGTGGCTCTATAAATAGGCGAAGCTATAGACAAAAAAACCTCCCACGAGGCCGGGAGGAAGGAGCGAGCGGGCGTTTCCTGACTCCGAGGTGTGATGCAGCAAACGCAGCTCCCTGCGTGCTGCCAGCAGGCTCCGGGCAGCCCCCAGCTGCCTTCTAGGTCCCCCAAACTACCTGCGCCTCCCCCAGGCTGCTTTTATGCCTTTGGGATGGACGGTCTGCACCCCCAGGTGGGAGGATGCAACTAGGGCTGGGTGGCTGCAGGTCGGGGCAAAGCTTCCCCTACTGGCCTGGGGGCAGCGGGGCTGGGGGTTCTGAGCCTCCCCTGCAGAAAAAGCCCCGGGGAGAAGCTTCCAAAAAGCGTTGGGGGAAGGCGCCTGTGTCTGCGTGCCCGTCAGCTGCCTTGGGGCTGCGAGCACAAAGCTTCCACGCCGGGAGGGTGTGCGGGGCCCGAGACAAAACACAGCTGATCCCACAGTGACTCATTTCTGCGCCGCAGGAGCGGAGTTTGAACGAGCCCATATTTAGCACAGGCATTTTTATCCATTCTTATTTTGGCAGCCACGTGGCCGGCCCCTTGCAGCAGCATCAGGTCCCTGTGTTGGGGGTGTAAAGCCCTGCAGGGGGTCAGGCACTGCCCCCAACACCACGGGCAGAGAACAAAATATCTGCCCCAGCAGAGCCGCAGGGGAGCTCCCTGCAACAAACACCCACGTCTGCCCCCAGAGCTGCGGGCTGCTGGCATCTTTAAAGCCCAGCAGCCCAGAGCAGTGGGACTGGAGGTGAAACGGGAGTGTTTCAGGAGTGAAACGGACTTACTTGTCGAGGCAGGCAACGCTGAGGCACTTTTCCTGGGGCTGAGGCTGTGTGGTGCTGTTGCCAGCGGCAGCGGTCGTGGTGCTGGGTTCGTTCTCCTGCAGGATGGAGTCGATGAACGTGGAGGGAGACAGAGGAGTTTCGACAGCAGGAGGGTTCCCTGGGCTGGCCTCCTCTATCTTGGGGCTGCGGGAGGGACTGGGGGGCTCTTCTTTGATCCGGACCACGGGGCTACTCCTGGGGGGAGGAAAGAGAGCGGGTGAGGATCCAGCACCAACACAGGAACAGTTCCTGAGATCTGCTCCCACACAACAGGACAAAAATCTCACGCCCGCTGCTGCCTTCCCCACGTACAAAGCCTCCGGAGCCAGCTCCAAAGATGAGGTTGGGAGAGCACCCAAATATTTCGTCTCTGCTTGTGACCCTCATGAGCTCCCTCGCGCCCTGACCTGGGCGCGTTCCTCGCAGCCAGCTCTGGGAGGAGGCCGTGGCTCTTTTCTTTTTGACACCGTGGTTAAAACAAGACAGCTTTTGACACGGAGCTGCTCTGAACAATGCCTGTGCCCTTCCCTAAGTCCTGCTGAGACACCCAGGACGCTGTCACCACCGCCCCAGAGCCTTCTGATGGCAGTGACCCCTTTGTGCCAGCCCAGCCTTAGCAAAAGCACCCTGGAATTTGCAGAGGTTGTATTTTTGTGGGAAGGGAAGGTGGCCGCTTTGGTCAGCCCTAATCTTGCAGATGGGAGCCCTTCCGCACCCCAGCTTGCTGATTTGGGGCGGAAGAGGCTCAATTAGTCCTCCTGGAAAGGACAGCAGCCACAAAAGAACGGAGAAAGGGCCCATTAAGCCAACATATGGTCTATATTTAAGAGCGAGCGCTCCTGGCAGAGGGTGTTCAGGCAATAAATGGCATTTGTGGGTGATTCAGCACCTCAGGGGAAGCGCCGATGCCAGGAATAACCTATTAAAAGGGAAGCAAAAAGGCGACCACAAGGTGCTGAAGAAAGATGGGCCCGGGGGGGCTCAGATCAAGAGCCTCCGAGCGGGGCGTGAGGGCTGAACAGACCTCGGGGGGCTTCCAGCAGTACCCAGCGGCGGTGACAGAGGCACACGAGGCTGACTGTGAGCCACGGGACCTGCAGCACTCCCCTCCCAGGGCTTGTGGACCTGAAGCAGGTGAAGGGCACAAGGAGAAGGGCTGCCGACTGCTGGCTGCCCTCTACGTGCTGCAGATCCTCAGCCGCTGCACCTGAGCTGCTGGGGATGGACCTGGCATCGTTACTCCCAATTATTTGTGTTCTTTGTGCCTCCTCCTCTGCGCAGCAGTCTGTAAGGGCAGGGCAAAGCCACCCCAGCTCCCAGGAGGCTGGTAATTCCACCTGACAGGGCTGACGCACCACTGAAGGGCTGTTCCTTGGGGACTGGGACCCCTCCAGGGCTTGCTCACGCTGGGCAGGGAGGCAAAGGAGCAAACGTTGGCTGAGTGCAGGATTAGAGCTGATCTGAAGAAATAAAATCTGCTGAGCCAGCAGTGTCCCGAAGCAGGCTGTGCTGCGGGGACAGGTCAGCTTGCTGTGCCCAGGGCTGCAGCAGTGAGCTCAGGCACCGCAGCGTGCCCTGCCCCAAGGGCTGCTCCGTTTCTGGCTGTCACCCCCGGGGGATTGAAGCCTCTGCCACGAGATATCAGCTGTGCTGATACCGTACAGCTCAGCCCACCAGGTAATGCTCCCCAAAAAGCCAACTCGAGGCTGCAGGAGAGCAGCAGCAGCGTTACCTTTCGTCAAGGCTGCCGCTGGGAGATGCTGAAGGGCTGGACTGGGCGAGCTCCGTCACGTCGGAGATGATGGGGCCAGAGTTGGCTGAAGAATCCGGGGAATAGAGGTTGGAGCCGCTATACGCTGGGGAAGAAGCCTGAAAGGACAAACACAGAGTTTGTGGGGTGAAGCACAAGGCACAAAGCAGTGACCCACGGGGGCAGACGCGCCGGATCGCTCCCATCCCGACCCACCCGCGGAGGAATAAGAGTTTAGTTTAAGAGGGGAGCTCAACACAAAACGCATCGCCCACCCCACGCACTGATAAAGCACACGTCAGGCCTCTGTCCCCTAAACTCCATCTTCTTGGAAACGGTGAAATTTCCAAAGTAACAATATTGGATGCTTTTCCTGGATGATTCAACACTTGGACGCGGAGCAGCTCCGCGTCTCACCCTTCCCCTCCCACTCTGAGCCTTTCTTTTATGCTCAAAGGAAAGGCGAAGTTCTCAGGACCTAGAGATGAACGAAATTCAAGGTGTGAGGAACACAAGATTCCCCGCTGGCTGGGGACCCGGGGTCGGGTCCCACAAGTGGCACAGCACCAGGCCACCCACGCCAGCTGTCTTGGTGCAAAACCACTCTGCAATTTCCAGCCAAATCGGGGCCGTGGCAGCGTCAGCATCCAGTGCTCGTGCTGGCAGACGGCTCTGACAAACCGCCCAGCGATCGCTCCTCGCCCCTGAGCTGGAAGCTGTGAACACTTGGGGCTGCGAGGAGCCGGCCACCTGGGTTTCTCATAACAAGCAGAGCCCTGCGATACCTGGAGGAGCTCCCAGAGGCTCTGCGCAACGCTCGGCACGCGGGGGGATGAAGGCACTTCTAAAGCTGAGCTCACAGCGCTGGACGGGAGCTGGAAGGGGAACAGAGCCCTCGCACGGGGTGGTCTGGCAGCAGGAGAGCTCTTTAACGGGGCTGAGATATTTCGGGTTTCGGCTAAAAAGCTGATCAGATCAGCCGGGCACAGCAGGGCGCTGCGTGTCGGGAGCTGGCGGCCTCAGTGCACGGCCCCGCAGCAGCACTGCCACTGCAAGCAGGGACAGCCTTTATTTTGCTGCAAGCAGCCCGTGAGGGCACCCGGCCGTTCTCCCAGCTGTAAAGCCTCACTCCCGAACCTCAGCCCTGCCAGAAATTCAGCGTTAAGAACCTCGATGCACCACCTTGGCCAAGGAACGGCAGCTGCTTCCCATGCAGGGGGCAGATGGGAAGAGAGCCCCGAATCTGGGTGGCGCTAGGAGATGAGCAACGTGAAAACATCCACGTTGAGACGGGATGGAAGGGACCAGCACAGGCCAGAGGTGCTGAAAAGCAAAGAGTGAGCAAACACCAGCAAGAGGCAGGGCAGCTCCTGCATCCGTGGCACAGTGTGGCATCAAAGCAGGGTTCACACCGCATCGTGGCAGCGCTCCTGGGGCAGTGCAGTGGGGTCTGTGGGGTGCCAGGGTCTGTAAGGTGTCACAGCAGGGTCTGTGGGGTGCCAGGGTCTGTAAGGTGTCACGGCAGGGTTTGTGCAGTGTCAGGGTTTGTTCAAAGTCACAGCAGGGTCTGTGCGGTGCCAGGCTTTGTGCAGTGTCACGGGTTTTGTGCAGTGTCACAGCAGGGTTTGTGCGGTGCCAGGGTTTGTGCAGTGACACAGCAGGGTTTGTGTAATGTCACGGCACGGTTTTGTGCAGTGTCAGGGTTTGTGCAGCATCATGGCAGGGTTTGTGCAGTGTCATAGCTGGGTCTGTGTGGTGCCAGGGTCTGCACAGCGTCACGGCAGGCTTTGTGCAGCGTCACGGCAGGGTTTGTGCAGTGTCACAGCAAGGTTTGTGCAGTGTCAGGCTTTGTGCAGCGTCACGGCAGGGTTTGCTGCAGGCACACTGCAGCTGCCAGCTCCGAGGGAAACGCCAGCCCCGTTGAACCCACCTCCCTCCAGCACAGGAGCCAGAAGCCCGCAGCTCGTCCCAGCTCGGAGGGGTGTGGGAGAGGCTCCCGGTGATCTCCGGCCACTGAACAGTCACGGGGAGCAGCACCCCGAAAGGTGCACGGGTGATGGGAGAGCAAAGACAACACCTCGGGGCTCAGCGGGATCCAGCAGCAGTTTGTAGGGCAGCGCAGAGCACGCAGACAGACCCCTCCTGTGCAACCACCTCGCCGTGCCCCCCGAGGCTGCGTGCTGCTGGGGCTGGCTGCCCCTCAGCCACTGCAGCGTGGCCAGGGCTGGAGCAACACCCACAGCAGTGCCGAGCTCTGTGTGATGGGGTGCCACACAGCTCTGCTTTGATGGGTGATGCTCCTGCGGGGGCTGCCTGGCTTTGCTTGGTGTCCCCCACCTCGTTCCTGGGTCACAGCGCAGCTCTGCTCACGGGGACCCTGCTGCTGCTGCTGCTGCTGTCCCTGCCTGGCTCCCACCCGCAGCGCCCTCCCTGTTTGGCAGCAGGCTGCTTGCAGGGAGTATTGCTAATTGCACACGGCCACGTTAATTAGCCAAGAGCAGCAATTGCTCAGCAAGGGCCGGCTGACATCGGGTGCATTTTGTGACAAAGCAAAGCAAAGCCCGAGCCAGCAGACGTCAGCTGAGCGATGCTGCCCTGAACCCCCCCTCGGCTGCTGGTCGAATTCAGACAACCCTCGCTGGGTCTGCGATCGAACGCGTGGCCCCTCACGGGGGGCAGCAGGTTCTGAGCGCGGGGGTTGATGCCCCGTGCCCCTTGGCATTTGGGTAACGCCCTTACCAAAATGCTCCAACCCCTGCTGAGCGCTGAGGGGTCAGGCAGTGGGACTGGCAGATCTGGGGGGGGCTTCCCAACCGAGCTGGCAGCTCGCTCCCTGCTAGCTGGGGCAGATCAGAGCCCCGTGGAGGTGCCGTGCTGCAGATGTGGGGCACGGGTGAGACCTCCCCGGGAAGCCGTGGCCCCAAATCCCCATCCCGAGAGCACGGTGGACTTACTGCGTACGGGGACGAGCCGTGGACGTGCTCCAGGGAGTACTGGCGACTGTATTTCGGCATGGAATGTGCTGAACTGCTGTCGTTCAACATCAGGGGGCTGCAAAAGAATCCCAAACACCACAGGGGTCACTGCGCTGCCAGCCCCAGCCTCCAGCACCACCCAACCCCAGCCCACCCCCAGCCCCACGATGTGCGCAGCCCGCGGGGCCAGGGCACCCTGGGGTGGCCACCTCTGGGCAGGAGGCCCGGCGACACGCAGCCAGCCCCCACGGGCAGCCCCTCGGCTGGCTTTGCAAGCCTGTGGAGCAGAAATGCAAAGCCCCAGGCCTCGGAGAGCCCCCATAAAGCCCTCGGTCCCCTCCTCTGCGGGGCTGCGCTGCCCCACGCACGGGTTTCTGGCGCTCAGCTGCGGCACGAGCACCGCTGCGGCCCCATTCTGTACCCGAGCGCTGCGGGGAGATGCTCCCCGTACGGGATAAATCATTGGGGCACGTCTCGGACAGGATGGCAGAACGAGGAGCTACCTTCATTAATAACAATCGAGCCTGCTGTGGTGGTGCCTGCCATATGGCGCGGCTGGGCACCGCTCGCACACAAAGGGGCAGCCCCGCAGCCAGCCGGGCAGCTCAGGGCCAGGGGTAGGGGCAGCACAGGGGGCTTGCCCCTTCCTATGGGACACCAGGTGGGTGAGGAGCCCGTCCACACAGGACGGGACCAAATGGGGCTGTTGTGGTGGTGTCGGAGGAGAGCCAATGGGAAAAGCATCTCTAAAAGCTCTTAGGACGAAGCTGTGCTGCTGGGGTGAAATTTGTGATCCTGGGACAAAACCAGTAGCGACTGCCCGGCCCAGAGCAACCAACCCAGCAATGTTCCCAACCTCTTGGGGCACTTAAGTGCTGGACAGGCCTCCAGTGCAACTAGCGAGGGGCAGAATAATCCACGGCACGTCTGAGGACGGGCTTGGTTAGTCTGTGGAGCTGTCAGCAGCCTCTGACAGCAGGAGGCTGGCCCTGGTGGCCCAAATTTTCCCTGTGGGGTAAGGACCAGAACGCCGTGGCAGTGCCAAGGCAGCGCTGTGCGTGCTGCCCTTTGACAGAGCGCAGGGGTTGGGGACAAAGTGTGTTCTGCACGGGCTGATGTGGCCTGGCTCGCAAACCCTTCCTGGCGTCAGTCGCACGGCAGTGTTAGCTGGTTCTGGCCGGAGCAAGAACTTGAGGCTCACATGATGCCAATGACCGCTGTCCAGTCCTACCCCACTGGCAAGGCTGCTACAGAAGGCAGAGATCTGGGGGACCCACTCTGCTGATCCTCTCTTTATTCTCAGACAGGGAATCTTTATCTGGAGGTAGAAATGCAGACTTACATCTTCCTCTTCACCCCAAGAATACGGTTGGATTGCACCAATGAAATCAAAAACTGGATAAGCTGGGAGGAGAAAAAAAGGAAAAAACCCGTTAGGGTGCGTGCTGTGAGGTGGATTAACCCACGGACGGCAGCGGCTCCCGGGACCCCTCGGCTCAGGGCACGGAGGGGAAAGAAGGCTGGGGGGGCACAGGACGTGGCAGCCAGTGGCCTTCCAGAATCTCAGCAGCCAAAATTGTCCTGAAGCAGAACAAACGCCGCTGCCCTGCAGCGAGCCGTGAGCTGGGGCTTACCTTATTGACAACTTTCTGCTGCTGCGCGTGCTTCTGCCTCAAGCTGGCCACCTCCCTCCACAGCGCCTCGTTCTCGCTGCAAGAGAAGAAAAAAAAAGGCCAGCTGAGAACAAACGCGGCCTCGCAGGCAGAGCGAAGAAAGCCCCGGGGTGAGTCGGGAACCTGCAGCAGGGGATTTGCCGCCGCCTCCAGCCGCGGGGCTCATTTACAGCCTCGCGGGGCCGCGGGTGAAATGTTGCTCGTTAACTCTGCTCCACTGCCATCCCAGCCCGGGAGCAGCCTCGCACACATGGGCAGGGACGCGGGGGCCCTGCGGGGAGGGCTGGGGGGCAGCTCCGCGCCCCGATGTGGCCCAGGGGTGTGGGGTGGGCACGATTCGGATCCAGCTCCTCCAGAGGTGTAAAGGGGAAGGCACCGAAGCCCCGGACAGCACCGGGGTGCCCGGCGGAGCTGCGCCCCTCCGGATCCCACCAGCAATCCCCAGCTCCAAATGTTTTTTTGAGCTTTCTAGGCAGGGAAATGAGGACAGCAAGGACTGGCTTTGTGTGTGCTGCGAACACAAAAAGTAGTGCAGAACTCAGCAATAAACCTGCGTTATTTCCTCGTGTTCCTGAAGCTCCTCCCGACCCACGGAGCCGGGCACCAGCACAGGGTGGCACCGGCACAAACCCACCTGGGAATGGGTCAGGCCCCGTTTGCCCAACAACAGGGTGGGCAAAACTCAAAATGGGAAAACTCTCCTGAGGTCAGGGGTGGCCACAAAGATGCCCAGGGCTGGAGCAGCTCCGCTGTGGGGCCAGCTGAGGGCTGGGGGTGAGGGGCATGGGCTGGAGAAGGGTCTGGGGGGGCCTCCCGGTGGGCTGCGAGTGCCCAAGGGGGCTGCAGGAGAGCGGGGGGTGCCCTTTGTGGGGCTGTGGGGATGGGATGGGGGGATGACAAACTCACAGGGGGTAGGGGGGGGGTGAGAAATAAGGCAGAAATTCTGCCCCCAGGGGCGGTGATGCCCAGAGGGGCGCCTGGGTGAGGGCCTTGGCCGCTTTCGGGGTGTTCAGAGCTTTTGGGGCATTCGGTGCTTTTGGGATGCTTGGTGCTTTTGAGGCACTCGGTGCTCTTGGGGCACTCGGTGCTTTTGGGGTGCTCGGTGTTTTCGGGGTGCCCGGGGCAGCATGGTGACAGCCTGGGTGCGCTCGGGGGCTGCGGGCCGGGGAGCAGCCGCCGTGCCGAGGGCACAGCTGCCGCTCAGCTCAGCTGCAGCCCCGCTCCCCGTGCGCCGGCCGCCAATTACGGCCGGGGAGGAAGGGCTGCTCCGTGCCCCGCGGGGCCTCGCGCCGTAAATTAGCCCGGCTCGCCCTGGCGCAGGCCACCTGAACACCCCGAGCCGCCCGGGGACTGGGGGGGCACCCAGCGGGGAGGAGATGCGGCCCCGCGGAGAGAGCAGGCGGCGGGAAGGGTTAAGCAGCAGCGAAGGCTTTAATACTTTCTTTAGCACGCTGTTTTACGAGGCAATTAAAGGCCGGCGAGGAGTTTACAAGGGCCGGTTTCAAACGTTTCATTTTGGGAGTTATTAAAGCCCCGCGCAGCGCCGGGTCTCTGCAATATTTCACGGCCCCGCTCCGCACCTGCCGCTCTTAAAACGCTGCTCCCAGGGGACACGCAGCCCCCCTAAAACCCCCCAAAACCCCCCAGCTCCCCCGCGGGACCCTCGGCCAGCTCCGGCGGCCGGGCTGCAGCGGGAGCAGCGCCGTTATCGCGGCATCGCAGGAGGGTGCGGGCGGGGGGCACCTCGCGCATCAGCTGCTCGCGGCCCCCCCGTGCCGCCTCCGTTATCTCCCCCGGCCAGGAGAGCCGCTCGTTTATCACCGCACCGAGCAGGGCCCTCAGGAGCAGCCTTCAGAGCAGCGTTAATTAGCAGGCTGAGGAGCGGGGCTGTCAGCCGCCCTCCAGATAAAATACACCCCGGTGGAGCCGCGCTGGCGTTCCCAGCGAGGCCGCCTGAAATAAAGGATGGTTTGCTACCTGCTGGTTTGTAATTTCAAGGCGATGCCGTCCTGCAGCTTCCCACGTGCTGCTCTACCTGGCCCTTCTCTCAAAAGCCAGCTCCTGGGAGCAGGTAATTACAGAGGAATTCATCCGCCCTCCTCTGCCCCAGGGCGAGCTCCAGCGCCCGGCTCCAGCGCGGCCACCAGTGCGCTCACCGACAGCGGGCGTGGAAAAAACTTTGCTCCAGTTCGTACCTCTCCTGTTTGGGAGGTCTGAACCCAAGGAACTCACCCTAATACACGGCTTTCAACCTCAGCACGTGCCCGTGACCGCACGTGAACACACTCGGTGGGCACGGAGCTCGCAGTGGAGCTGTTCCCTGTTTCCATCTCACGCCACGGGGTTTAGAGCAGTGTGTCCCCGTTCCAGCGTTTCAGACAGGGTGCACAGAAAACAGCTGGACTGGGACTGAGCAAAAAGCAGGATCTGAAGGGCCCGGCGATGCCGGGAGCATGCGACAGGTCCAGAGCAAAGATCAGGGTCATGGTGCCACGGCCTCACCCAAATTTCAGATTTTGCCAACCCAAACATACCCCAACACCCTCTCACAGACAGACACAACCCTCCTTTTCTCCTCCCTCCTCCAGCAGCACGGTGCCAGCCCCACATCCTCGCGGTCCCACACGCTGCTGAGCCCTGCCCCGGGGCTGCTACAGCTCCCGTGTGGGGATGGATGGAGGGCAGCAAGCCCAGAACTCGCGGTGGGGCTGGAGCAGGGGGGCTGCAGCGGTCCCTGCCAACCCCAGCCCCAATTTTGGGCTAGCTGTGGTGGTGGAGACGAGGGAGAGCAAAGCCTTGCACCGAGAGGGCAGCCCCGAGCTGCTGGTGCCGCAGCGAAGCCAACACACAAAGCAAAGAGGCAGCGACTGCTCCTCTCCCCGCTGCCTCCAGGCTGGAGCTATCAGCTGAAGTCAGCAGCTGGCAGATTCAGCGCGAACAAAAGGCCGCGGCTCTCCCCAGGCACCCTGTAATTGAGATGCAGAACTCCACCGCCGCCTGGATCCCGGGGGTCGCGGGACAAAGTCACACAAGAAAAACAAATCCAGCGGGGAGCCTCACCAGGGCAGCGCTGCCACCTCGGGCTGCCCCGAACCCCTTCCTTGCTCCTCTCCCCACCTCGCTCCTCTCCGCTCCTGCCCTGTGCCCGCAGCCTCAGCAGGAGCAGGCAGCACTTTGGTTCCACACCCGGCTGGTTTGGAGCCCTTGCTCCATCCCCAGAAAACTTCTGCTCGCAGCTGAGTCCCAGCTCGAGCCCTTCCCATCTTGGCACCCTCTTTGCCCAAACCAACGTCCAAACCAATGCACTGGGACCAACACGTGAGCCACCAGTCCCTGCTGTTCATGGAACAGCAATCCCGATGCCTCACGGTGCTGCAGCACACGGGGAAGGGGCTCTGGGGCTTGGGGCAGGGGCTCGGGGCAGGGTCAGCATCGCACCAGGGACCCGGCCACGCAGGAGGAGGCGCTGAGCGGAGCCGCGGTGCTCCCGGTGCCAGCTGTCCAGGGGCAGGAAGCAGCTGGTTCTCAGCTCACACTAAATCAGCTACCGGGCTAAAAAGCTATTCCCAGCCCCGGCCGTGGTACGATCAATCTTCGTCTCCAGCAGGTACCACCTCTGCGCCTGCAAATGGCTCGCGCGCCCGTCTGGAAGCAGCTGAGAGAGGCGCGCTGTTAATGACCGCCCCGACCAGCGGAGATCATCTGCATTCTGCTGACTAAACAAGGATGCAAAGCGCACGCATCTATCAAAAGCCTCTCAGCACCGCTGCTCCTGCTGCTCCTGCCCTTTTATCATCGCAGCCAGCTTCCAGGAGCAGGCAGCACTTCGCCTCCGCAGGCTGCGGGCGCCGACGGAGCGCAGCAGACGCAGGCAGCGCCAGCAGCCCCGGTGTGCCCAAGCCCACGGTACCCAGGCAGCGAGGAGAGGTGATAGCAGTGCCCGAAAAACATCCAGCTTTTGGGCTGCAGAAAGCACCGTGCCCTAGACGCAGGAGCGGGCTCTGAGATGTGGCTGGTTCCCAGCCCCGAGCACCGCGAGGTCCTGGCTGAGGTCAGCGCCCTGGCACCAAGCACAAAGCAGATTTTTGTCACTTCTCAGCGTAAGGAGAGAGCGTGACCCGAAGAAATGCAGCCTGACCTGCCCCAAAAAACAGCGCCACTGGTTTTGATCCTTCCTTGTTCGCCCTCTCTCACTCTGCTGATACCCACAGCGCCTGCAGCAAGCCACAATGCCCCGGGCTGCACCACCAGGGGGGTGAGGGGATCGTCCCCCTCTGCTCTGCCCTCCCTGTGCCCAGGTTTGGGGTCCCAGCACAAGGATGTGGGGCTGATAGAGCAGGTCCAGAGGGTCACAGAGGTGATCAGAGGCTGCAGCAGCTCTCTAGGAAGAAAGGCTGAGAGAGCTGGGGGTGGTCAGCCTGGAGAAGGCTCCGGGGAGACTTCCTTGGGACCTTTCGGTACTTAAAGGGGGCTTCTAAAAAGGATGGAGAAGGACTCTTTACTCACGTAGACACTGATAGGAGAAGGGGAATGGATTTAAGCTAAAAGACAGATTCAGATTAGATGTTAGGAGGAAATTCTTCACTGTAAGGTAGTGAGGGATGGGCACAGGTTGCCCAGAGGAGCTGTGGATGCCCCAATCCTGGAGGTGTTCAAGGCCAGGCTGGAGGGGCTTCGGGCAGTCTGATGCACGAGGCAGGAATTCTCCTTGGTGCTAACGCCTTCCCTCTGCGTCTGTTGCTGTCAAAGTCCCAGCAGCTGAATATCAGCAGGCAGATCTCTTTTCTGCTACCTACTTCACACTCAGAATTCATTCATCCATGCTGTAGAACCACCAGGACAGGCTGCCCTAATCTCAGCCAGGACAGAGTTAATTTTCCTCCTAGGAGCTGGTAGGGTGCTGCGTTTGGGATTTAGGATGAGCAGAGTGCTGAGAACACGCTGATATTTACTCGTTGCAGAGCAGTGCTCACACCAAGGGCGTTCCAGCTTCACCCTGTCCTGCCAGCGGGCAGGCTGGGGGTGCAGCAGGAGCTG